ACACGCACGCGGGCACGCTCTTTGGGGAGAAGATTGGACCTTCTTGTCTAGATTTTTAATTGGAAGGTCTCTGTCTGGGTTGATATTTTTGCTAAATTGGAGTTTGCATTGCCCTGGTTTGTTGAACCAGCCACAATTAGTTCACAATATGTGGTGTTCTCTCTCCCCACCCAGCTCTGAAAGACGGGTGCATATAAATGTAGCTGCCTTGGAGGCTTCCAGATGTCATTTTTCCTCTCTTCTTTCTTCTTTATTTATTTATCAAGTTTGGGTACCACCCATCTCGCTCTGAGAGAGACGCTGCTTCCTGGCTGTTGCTGCCATCTGCTCTGTGGTTGGGTTATTTTTAAGTTGTTGACACTTTTATTGACCATAGTTTAAGAAGCGGAATTAAACTACTTTGGGAGGAATTGCTCTTTCTCTCTTGGGAGGGGGCTCCCTGCAAGCTTGAAACTTTCTAGGAAACTGAGGGATTTAAGCTCATTGGCGGCTGGCTTGTTTTAGCCTAAGGATTTGAAAAGCAAGGGGCGAACTCTTTAGAACACTTCTGACGTACCGTTTACTAGCGTTGTACAATCGATGCTTAGTATTACATGGATAAAAGATACCAAACGAAGTACATTGAGTTGTTTTCATAATAATAAAAAGGATACTTGGAGCTTAGTTACAAAGTTTGTTCTTCTGCATCCGCCACTATTTGATTGTTTATAAACATTAAAAAAAAAAAACTTCCCTGTAAATAGCACAGATAAATATTTCATTTTTGACTCGCCCCTTCTCGGTTTTTCACTGGTTTGCATTATCTGTTGGGGGTAATTTACTTCCGGCTCATTTGATTACTGCATTAGCATTTAATACATGGAAACACCGGTCTGTCGAAATAAAGTTTATGGTTAGCAGGTTTGAAGATTCTCTGAAACTGAGTAAAACACTGAAAGTACCTGCTGCTCTCTTCCACGGGGGTCCCTGGAAAAGAGGTTCTGAACGCTTCCCCAAATAATTGGGGAGAAAAGGAGGGCGAAGAAAGAGCTTAATCCAGGCGCCCCGTCTTGCTTTTCTCCTCCTGGCCCTGGCCCAGCTGCTGCCTCTTGCAGGCTGCCTGTGAAAAGGGAGCCCGAAACTTCCGTTTTAAGTTCCTTCTGTTAATCTCTTTATATCATCGCCAGAAGGTGGCATGACTGATTCTGAACAAGCATTACCTCACTTCTAAGTCTTTCAAAAACTTCATTGTGTAATAAACGTTGCCCCCGTGGGTGTTGCAGGGCTCCTGGCTGACATGCAGAGAGCAGCCAGATTGATGAGTTTTAATTCAAGTTGCCGTGTTATTAATTAGTGCTGAGCGTGTAGCCTTCAAGGGAACTACAGCCACAGAAGGGGGGGGGGGAAGTAAGCAGTGGGATACCCCAAGGTTCTGTTTGGGGCCCAGGACTCTTCAATATCTTCATAGACGATCTATTCTAGGCAAAGGGAGAGGAGGGGAACTTTGCAGACAACACTAAGCTGGCAGGAATAGCCAACACCCCAGAAGACAAGCTCAAGATCCAGAGGGATCGTGACAGGCTTGAACACTGGGCCCTGTCTAACAAAATGAAATTCAGGGTAGAGAAAAGTAATGTTTTATTTAGGCAAGAAAAACCAACTGAATGAAGAGGTGCAAGCTAGGCGAAACCTGGCTTAATGCCAGTAACTGTGAGAGAGATCTTGGCATCCTAGTGGACAATCGCTTAAACATGAGCCAATGGTGTGTGGCAGCAGCCAAAAAAGCCAATGCACTCCCAGGCTGCATTAATAGAAGGATAGAATCAAGATCACATGAGGTTCTAATACTGCTTTACGAAGCCTTACTAAGACCACCTTGGAATGCTGCATCCAGTTCTGGTCAACACAATATAAGAAAGATGTTGAGACATTGGAAAAAGTGCAGAGGAGAGCAGCAAGAAGATTAGGGGGCAGGAGGCTAAAACATATGAAGAAAAGTTCCAGGAATTGGATATGTATAATCTAATGAAAAGAAGGATTAGAGGAGATCTGATAGCAGAGTTCCAATATTTGATTTTCCTAAGCACCAAAAGGCCAGACAAGAAACGATGGAAACTGATCAAGGAGAGAAGTAACTTAAAACCAAGGAGAAATTTCCTAACACTTAAAGCAATCTACCAATGGAAGAGTTTGCCTCCAGAGGTTGTGGGCGCTGTAGCACTGGAGGCTTTCAAAAAGAAACAGGGCAACCATTTATTTGAAATGAAAGGCACCCCTTTCTTTTGGAGTTCTGAGGTCCCTAATGGCAAATGGTGGCTTTAGTAAAGTGTTGATTATAATGGACTCTCAGATTGTTGTCAACTCTTAGCAACCTCCTAGAGCAGGGATCTCCAGCCTTGGCAACTTGTGGACTCCCAGAATTCCAGCAAAGCTGGCTGAGGAACTCTGGGAGTTGAAGTCCACAAGTCTTAAAGTTGCCAAGGCTGGAGACCCCTATCCTAGAGAGATTCTCTGTGGGATGATCTGTCCCTGACCTGGTCCTTCAGGTCCCCCAAGGGTGCACCCATCACCCCCTTGCCTGAGTCCCTTCCCCTTGCTGCTGGTCATCCTCTTTCCTTTCGCTCCTGCAGTCAGTTCTCTGTGTGTGGCAGAAGAGGATGTGGTGCCATGTAGGAAATGCAACGCACCACCTGTTCCAATCACTTCCCAGAGCAAGATGAGCCAGCAGCTGTCTGAACTGAGGCATGTCGTGTTCTCCTTTCTATTTAGAGCTGTAGAATGGAGAGGTAAGGGGAGGCCATTTAGATTGTCCTCCTCCAGAAGACAGGATCCAGCGGTGTTTCCTTCACCCGTACTCTGTGAATGGCTGTTTTTCTGGGGTAGAACTCACCACCCCGAACCGTAATGTGCTTGCGTTGGGTCTTGCCTTCTTTCTAAGGACTTCCAGTGATCTCACCCTCGAAACAAAAAAGTCCAAAATATTTTGATAAATCATTTTAGATAGCTGGGACCAAACATGCACGGCGTTTCTTCAGTTACCACATTTGGCTAATTGTCTGGCAAAATAATTTGAATGGCTCGGAGGACTGAGCCAGATGTCCTACCAAATTATCTCCAATAGTCCAAACACAAGAAATCGTCTTCAGCTCTCGATCCTCCCCAGTTGAATGTTAGTCTTGTATGCTTCTTTCTTCCTGAACAATACAGTTGAGAAACTGCTGTTCCAGAAATGCTTGATCAATGTGTTTCCTTGATTACTTCTAGAACAGCAAGAAAGATGACCGGCCTTCTTCCATCCCCGGTGGTTGTCAACAAGGGTTGTTGATCTTTGGTTCTGAAATCACTTTCTTCCAAACCTCTGTTCAAACCACTTTGCTGCACAGATTCCTTCAGTGGTAGTTTTCGAAAGTTAACGTTCATTTAGAGCGGTAAGACCCAGGATGCTCTTGTGGCTCAGATTGAAGGATTTGGCAGCTGTTTGAGCCTATAGCAGTTGAGACTCGTGAAAAGAAAAGACACCCTTGGCATCAAGCTTGGTTCCAGCTGGGCTACTTGGGCACATCCAAGCCAGTTGGGCGTTGCCTCCTCCTTCTGTCTGCTCAGGAGCTTCTGAGACCAGAAGAAACTCAACTTGAGGGCTCTAAGCCACACTTTCAAGGATTCAGAGCTGATAAAGGGGAGCCTCCGTCTGCTTGGTTGGGCAATGCGGACCCAAATTGAGGACCCAAATTGTTGGAGGGACAAGATGCTGACTCTGTAAACCCCTTCGAGAGGGCTGTAAAGCAGTATATAAGTCTTGGGGCTATTGCTGTTATCTGGGTCTCCCCAGCCTTTTCTAGTGGCCAAGAGTCGGCTGGCAGCTTTAAGCGGCCTAAGGTGGCTCCGACCTTGATGGAGGCTTGAGTGCTGCTCCTTCCACCCTCTGTTCCCTCTCCCTGCCAGCTGATCCTGGGTAGCACTAGCTTGTTCTCTTTCCCCCCCAAGCAGGCAGTCCGAGGTCTGCCGTGAGTGGCAGGCGGTGCATTCAGCTTGAACAGCAGGTGACTCCCATTGTCCTCCAGCCTCTGTGCTCTGTGTGCCACGGGAGCAGAGGCACCCATTGACTGTTAATGATGCCCCGTTTGATTTGGTGGTTCTGGGGCTCACGCAGGAGACAGGGGTGTGTGGCTGAGCCCACGTTTTCCCCAGGGCCTGATGGGGCTCCTGGAAGGCGGCAGCCTCCGTCCTTTGTCAGCAGCCCGGCTCTGCCAGAGAAATCCAGCTCTCTGCAAAGACTCTTTCCCCGGCGGCTCTCGGGCAGAGCTGCGCTTGGCATTGGCTCACGGTCCTCCCCTGGATTTGTCTAATTCTTCTTCTCGCTTAAAGGCCGGCAACAAGTGAGTTTGGGGCCGTCCATATTGGGTGCATCTGCTCTCGTTTCCCCCCCCCCCCCCCTCCCCAGCCATTGGCACTGGAATATATGGCTAGGACTGGGTCAACGTGCCTGCAGCATCAAACTGTATTGTCCTCCCACCCTCGGTCGCCAGAAGGGAGCTGCTTGGAGGCCGGACAGATAGTCCTCTGTGCTCCCCGAGTTAGGATGGCTTTCTTTGTGTGATTAATCTCCCACCCACCCACCCTGCATCAGTCTGGAGGGACTTTAGGCAATGATTAGGTGAATGGCCAGGCATTTGGGGGTTCAGGGCTGACTATTCCCCTATTCTGTGACTGTAGAGTTTTCAGCACCGCTGGGAACTTGACAATTTGGAAGCTGCTCTTTCTCCTTACCTGAATTACAAATGAAGGCGGATCTGTTAAAAATTCAATAAAAAAAGGTTTGTTTTGCCTTTAAAGAGAGGGTCATTCAAGGGCCCAGAGCCACAGGGAAAGTGGGAGGGGGTGTTTTCAAGTCCCTGGAAACCCTCTGATGACTCCCCCTCCCTCCCTCCCTCCCTCCCTCCCTCCCTTTCCAGCAGGAGAAGCTTTGTTCTGCCACATGGCAGCCGTGCCTTGGTGCTCCTTCGCACCGATCGAGGCCCCTCCCGGCTCAAGATTAAACTGCCGGAATAACATTTCCACAAAGTCTTGCCTTCCTTAAGTTGGCCCATCGTGTGCTGCTTCAGGGGCGCTTTGGGGAAGGGGCACCCCTGCCTGCCCCTCGGGACACCCCTGGAGAGGCCATAGAATTGTGTGTCACCTGCAAACTGGCTGCTTCGTCGAGGCTTCAGGCAGTTTATGAGCTGGGGAGGGCGAGGGGGGGTCTGCTCTGTCTGAGTGTTGATTGCATCCCTGTGCAAGGACAGATATTAGCGGCACGTTGCTCTCCAATTCCCAGCTGCAAACCGAAGGCGAAAGACGGCATTCGTGTTCGCAGGAGGTGTTGTAAAATGCATGAGGCTTTTTTCCTCACCACGTCTTGGAAGCCGAGGGTAGGGGAAACCGAGAGCGCCTTGGATCCCAAAGCAGGCAGGAATCTGCCCTCCCGTATTCCTTGGGTCGCTCTGACTACGGATTAGCAAAGACTGGCCCCGTCTTTCCCTCTCTCTTCTTTCCAAAATCTGTTTTTGTTGTTGTTGTTGTTGTTTGCAAGTAGCCTTTCCCCCCCCCCCTCCCATAATGGCCTTCTTGCCTTGTTTGATTTGCACGGAAGGAAAAGAGGCGGCTGCTGCTGCGTTCGGTCACTGATCTCTCCTTCCTTCCCCGCCTGGCCTAAGGCTATGCTGAGATTTCTCGCCCGCTTGTACTGTTGCAGCAGTTCCAGCGAAGAATATCCCGAGGATGACAAATGTATTCTGAGCCGGTACGTGTCTTTTGTTTTCTTTATGGCATCCATCTCGTTGCCTCCCCCCCCCCTCCGCACACCCCTTTCCTTCCTCTTGTCATTTCGGGGCTTTTTTTTCCTGCTACTATTGGCCAGAAACCAGGTTAATAGGTATTGAATGTAGCTCAGTGCTGCAGTGTGACTGTGGGGAAGGTGGAACAATAGTAGTGCCAGCTCGGTCTCGGGGTGGGGAAGACCGAGGCGGTCTTTTTATAGACCAAAGCTGCATTGTGGTGCCTTGGTGGTGTGCAGCCTCTCCCCCTTCCTTCCTTCCTCCCTCGCCCTCTCGCGCTTTTTTTTTTTTTAATGTACACTGCAGTCAGCCCTTCTCTAATGAGGCGGTGGCACCATCGGCCAGCCCGAGCCCTAGCAGCGCCCGCCTGCCCGCTTTAGGGGACGGCGGGGGTCAGGAGGAGAAGCCCGGCGGCCCCCTTGGCAGCTTGGAAACGCCGGCTTCACATCCTTGGCAAGCTGGCTTGGCTGGTTCCCAGCCTCTGCCGCCGTCACCATCCTGCCTGGGAGAGTGCGTGCGTCTGGAATGGAAGCCCGAGCCGGCCGTCTGTTATGGAAACGCTGTTTGCTGTTATTGTAGTATCGCGGTGACCAACATGCCATTGAAATGGAAAACGAGCTCGCCTGCTAGCTGGAAGTTCCCCGTGCCTGTGCTTAAAACCTCCCGGTCATCGCCGCTTTCTCCAGCCTACATGTAAGTGAGAGGACGGGAGGGCATCTTGAGGTGGGCATGCCTTTGCAAGATTGCATCCCCCCACCACCACCCCCGGCAGGGTTTGGCTCTGTGCAGTTTTAACACCCTTCTTTCTCCTTCCCCCCCCTTCCTTTATTTGTGGTTCTGTATTCTCTGATTGTGACATTGGTCTCAGAATTTCCATTGTGAACATCCCATTCTCCCTCCTATCCCAGAATGTCGGCTTTTCCTTCCTCTTGTCAGTTCTGTTCCTTCTCCACCACCACCCTGGTGGAGACAGGTGTTGTGTTTCCTTTGCTGGGTAAAGCAGGGGAGAACAGAGCAGATTCGCACCCTTCCTTTTCAGTGCCCCTTTTGGAAGTTTTGAAGTGGGGTCCTTGGTCTACAGTGCAGATCTGAGAGGAGCAACTCCAAAGCTCTTCCTTTCTCTAGTTGCTTTTCATCATGAGAGAACGCTAAAAACGCCCACCCACCACCCAGGTGTCTTTTTCGGGACTCGATGTGATGTGTGGGTTTTCCCGTGGTGAAATACTGGCTGTCAGAAGTCCAATTCTTTAATCCAAGTAATTGTTTCTGTGGTTAGATTCCCTTTCGTCTCTCAGAGTCAGAATTCAAACCATGGGCTTTGCAAAAGAGCTGCAGCTCAAGATTTTAGGTTTGTAAAAGGACAGGCTCACGTTTTTCATAGACAAGGGATGTATTTCTGGCTGAGGTTGAGCAAACCGCCTGGCACGGTAAAATGAAAAAGAAAGAAAGAAAGAAAGAAAGTCAACTTGATTTTGGTGGTTTTGCTCGTTATTTCCACAAATACTCTGATATAAAAAAGCTTTTATAGCTTTTATAGCTTTTATGTCTGAAAAACATGAAATATATCTCCACAGCTTTGAATTTGGTTTCCTTGGGTCTTGCGTGAATGAAATGGGATATTTCAGATGTTTTGGCTTTTATATTAGCTCGCTCGTAGACAAGTCATCCCCTCATCTAAGATTTTGGTAGAGACTTCTACCTGTCTCTTTGTTTTTATTTCACATTTTGTATTATGAGACACACAGTATCTTTTTGCTGCGAATTGCTTTTATTTTTTTTAAACCATCTCACTAACTGTCAGCATTTAACAGTTAAGAGCATTTTTCCTTGATCTGAAACATGAAAGGAAATTTTACACTAGCGGGTTGAAAGAGAAAGGACAGAAGCATTTGTCCATCTGAGTTAGGAATGGAACATTTCTGTTAATTCAATATACGTTAGACCAGGAATTAGAAGGAGTCTTGGAAACAAGTATAGAAATATGTGTCTTAAAATATATTTGTTAAATGAGTAAATCATTTTTTTAAAAAAAGCCCTTTCATGTGCAGTTCAGGGTATGTATTTCATAATGATTTATGTAATTGCAGAGCTCAAACATACTCATCAAGTTCATTTGTTTTCCTTAGTAAAATATATGTTGTACTTAATGTTTAGACCAAAAAGGTTTTAAAATCTTAAGGAAGAGGCTTTATTGGTAATTATAGCTTCGGCACAGTTTATCCTTAAGAAGACTCAAATATTTTTAGTCTTTATGAATATGAAGTGCTTTATGATCCATTGTCCCAAGCACTACAGGTCCTGTTTTCTATTGCTCCTTCTCTACCACCCCCCACCTCCATTTCACCCACTTTGCCTCAAGCAGGTGAATCCCCCTCCCAGGTATGCTTCTGTGAGCCTTTAAATCTAGAAGTCAAGAAAGAAGCCACCTGAAGTCTTGTTTTCACATTATACGTTTGAGTAAACGAACAAAAAGTTTCCCGCATCTGTTTTGTTGATAAGTTGTTTGCCCATCTATAGATAGAAGATCTGCAATTGGTGAGTGATCTGTGGGCCTCAGGGTCCGTGCTTGTATCAAAAGATGGATGTTGAATGGATGACCCTAATGTCATTTGATCAGGGCAAGTAGGGCCTTGTGGCTGTCCGGAATTCTCACCTGTGAAACTGGCCTTACATCTCTCTCCGTCTCTCATGGTTTCCTTACTTCAACTGTGGAATTGAAGACTTTGCATTCAAGCCTCTGGTGTGTGCAAAGATCAAGGATGAGTTAGTGGCCATGGAAAACAAGAGGTCATCAAAATGTCACCTGGCGCAATTCACTTCTAATTTAGGCCACAACGAGTATTCGAATCAAGTGCGGTTTCAGACAGAGGTGGGTGACCAGACTATCTAGTACGTTAAGGGAATTTGCTTCTCAGATTTTATTCTGGAGCTGTGAAATGCACATGGAGAGGCATTTCTCTCTTCTGAAGAGTGCTTGACTCCTGTCTGTCTGCCTGGAACGGGGTATGTCTAGTCTGATGAAAAGAAGGACCAGGGGAGACACGATAGCAGTGTTCCAATATCTCAGGGGCTGCCCCAAAGAAGAGCCGGTCAAGCTATTCTCCAAAGCACCTGAGGGTAGAACAAGATGCAACGGGTGGAAACTAATCAAGGAGAGAAGCAACCTAGAACTAAGGAGAAATTTCCTGACAAAACAATCAGTGGAACAAGTTGTCTCCAGAAGTTGTAAATGCTCCAACACTGGATGTTTTTAAGAAGATGTTGGATAACCATTTGTCTGAAGTGGTGTAGGGTTTCCTGCTTAAGCAGGGGGCTGGACTAGAAGACCTCCAAGGTCCCTTCCAACTCTGTTATTCTATTCTGTTCTGTTCTGTTCTATTTTTCTCTATTCTATTCTATTCTATTCTATTCTATTCTATTCTATTCTATTCTATTCTATTCTATTCTATTCTTCTAGACATCTGCTGCAGAGTCAGATAACTCCTATTTTGGCCAAAGCCTTGCTGTCTACATTACATTAGTCCAGACTTGATTCTCTTGTCTTGCACCAAGTCAAGGAGTCGATTGGATGTGCTCTCAGTAGGAGTAAAGCAGCAGGCTCAGTCCTGCTGTTTTGGGGTTCCACCAAGGAAGAGGCATCTTTTCTACAGCCCGGCCTGTTTTTTTGGGGGTGGGGGTCAGCATTGCTTCTCCTCCTCCAAGTGGAGTGTTATTGCAGTGTGTCAAAGATAGTTCCAATCACATTTTCAAAGTAATCATTTCTTCTCTTCAAGCTAAGGTAAGCAAAAAAAAAATGGTCAATATAAATCTTGGAACGGAGTCTTGCATAACGTGCTCTTTTTTTTTTTTTTTTTATTGCTCAGCAGAGTCCCCAAAGAATAAGGCTGCTTGTCAGCCATACTTAGGACCAGAACAGAACCTCACCAAAAAAGATGCAGCTTTCTTTCTCACTCCAGTTTAGCAGATATTTTTTATTCTTCATAAGCTTTCTTTTTTCCTTCTCAACTAGTTTACCTTTGGACACTATGAACCTCTTGGAGTTTGCAAACATTTGGAGTTGGGTTCCAAAGAGCTCATCCGTGGGACTACACCGAGTTGTATCCTCATCCTGCAGTTCGATGGGTGTAGTTGCACAGTTGCTTTTGTTCATTTTTGTCGATGAAAAACGAAGTAGATTCTGCCCTAAGATTGAAATTTGGACGCTCAGGAGCAACAAAGTTTTGCGGCTATCAGTGGGAGCTTCGGTTCTTTCCAGGATGTGAGGATATCTAAAAACCATCTCTTTCATTAGCTGTGCCAAAGAAGTTGCTTTTTTATCTATCTCAAAAGAGTTTTATCATATATTCAACTTTGGAGTTGAATATTTGTGATGAATTGCTTTTTGAGAGTTCCCAAAATATTTGCGAGTGATTTATCTTTCAAAGAAAACTCCTCCATGCTTGTTCTCCGCTCTCTCCCTGCCGAAGTAGTTATTTGGATCATCATTTCTTTGATGATATTTTTCGTTCACTGTTTGTTTGAAAGGACAATGTTTTCGTTTGTAAGTGGTTTGTTGTGTCTACAGATTGAAACATAGGCTAGAAAAACATTAAATGGAAGAAGTTTGCCAAGGAAGCGATCCCTTGTGCCATCCTGGACGCCTTTTCCCTCCTCGGGTGAGGTAGTCCTCCTTCGGCCACCTTTGGGCCTCCTGAGTTAAGTGCATCTCCGGATTCTAATTCTTCCTTGTTTCCATCAGCCTCTCGGTTTTGGAGATTGCTACTAGATTTGGAGGCTGCTCTTGATGTTTAGAAAGAGAAGATAGTCTATTTTGGACTGCTCCCTGATAACCCAGAGCGCCTTTTTATGGGTTCCTAAGCACCACACGGAAGGCGGCTTTCTGGAAGAGCCCTAGATCTCTTCCTCCGCCTTCGTAGAAGGTGCCAAAGGGCACTGTGGGCCTCCTCCGGTGTTAGTGCCAAGGGCCTCCTTACCCGCCTCGTCTTTCTGAAAAGCGTGGATGGCGCTTGACGCATCAGGAGAAGATAGTTTTGCCATTATTTAAGCATCTGCTATGCAGCTTTGGAAAATAGAGCCGACAGAGGCTTCAGGCACTTTGAAAATGAAATGAGTGGACGAAGATGCAGCCAGCCTGCCCGTCCAGTGTGCTCGGACAGGAGGAGAAGCTTAGGTTGCCCCCATACAGTAGTGGGGGACTAGACGGGGGTCTGAAGCCATCTTTTACTTGGATAGCTTTATGAATTATTGGGGGGGGGGGGAGATTTGGATGACCGGGTGAAGCTACAAGATGGCATTTTAACATTTTTTTCAGCCAGGCAAAACGACAGAAAAACAAGACTAAAATACCCCTCTGGGGTTTTGCAGTTGGAACAAATGAAGCCACCTTCTTAACTCTACTGAGAGCGAAAAGCAAGCTTTGGGCTTAAGCCTGTGGGTTGAGCTGACACGGAGGGCTTCTGAAAAGGACCCGGGTACCTTTTATTATCCACCTGAAACACGGATGGACAAAAATAACCCAAGCGTCTCATGTTTCAAACAAAGGGGGGGGGGGTGGAACAGGGCACAGGAGGGTGGAGCAGAGCAGTGAAATATAGGATCACTAAACTGAACACTGGTTTTATTTATATACCTCTATATAAAAAATTGGATCAGCAAGATAAAGAGACAAGCAGTTGCTAAAAAAAGTTTCAAGGAGCTAGAAATGTGTACTCAAGCTTTTGTGCAGCTTTGGAGTTGAATATTTGTGATGAATTGCTTTTTGAGAGTTCCCAAAATATTTGCGCGAGTGATTTATCTTTCAAAGAAAATTTCTCCATGCTTGTTCTCCACTCTCTCCCTGTCCAAGTAGTTATTTGGATCCTCATTTCTTTGCTGGTCCCCCCCCCTTCTGATTCTTGTAAAGGGTAGTCCTGATTCCTACAGAATTTAATGTGGATTAAAAGTCCAACTAGTCCTCTCTTTTTTTTAATATAATGCCATCTATTCGTCATAGCTATGGGAATAATTAGAAGGTTAATTAACTTTATGAGGAATTCTTGGAAGCAATAGCGATTCAGCATTATCCCCAGAAAAGCCTAATCAATATATTTACTCTCCTTATTAACTAATTATTTATAAGGGTTGGTGTGTTAGCTTTAATGAGTGTATATAAAACACCCTTGGTAAATATGTCTAAACCGAATATCTCTTCATTAAAACTTTTGGGGGTCTTTTGGGCGCATAGTTGACATAATGAGATGGCTCAGGGACTTGTGGATTTTGGGTCTTTGGGTTCCGCAGCTCTTCAAGGGGGAGTTGCTGGTATTAGAAAGCAACATGGAAGAAGGTTAAAAAAAAAAACTAGATGTTTTTTTCCAGAAATGTAAGCTTTTTGTGTACTGGATAAAGAAGCCCCCACATTTTTCAAACCCTACTTGTGGTCTGGAAACTACTGTTTATCACAGGTATGTCCAATCTTGGCAACATTAAAACTTGTGGACTTCAACTCCCACAAGTCCTAAAGTTGCCAAGATTGGACATCCCTGGTTTATCAGATCTGATCTAATCCAACATTCTGGCCCAGCAATATATGTCTTTATGACCTCATGAAACTGGACTTCAGTAACATCTTGCAGTAATTCTGAAGGGAATACTTAGTTCGTGTCGAGCTAATTTTCTTGCAATGCGCTCAGAGAGATGCTTTGGTCCATATTTTATATTTAGCCATAATTGTGCGAAAGAACCTTCAGGAGAGCTGAGGTTCAACCTGTAGATGAGAAAGTGGATGATTTCTGTCCAGCTCGGACCACAAGAATGCAAGCTGATTTTACTCAACCAAAATGTGATTTAATCTATCAGAAATTCTTTGTTGTCGCTGCTGGTATCAAAGACAAGTCTGAGCACTGTAATAAAATAATAAATAATAAAATAAAATAACAGGCATCCATCCTGTTTGGAAGACTTTCCCCTTCAATTGTTGCATCAACATCTGCCATCTGTGATTTGTTTAATTTTTTTCCCTACCTCTTGTGGTCTGAATGCACTAAAAGAAACAGATTTGGGTTTTGGGGCTGTGTAAAGGTTTATGCAATTAATCAGGATGTGACACGAGACATTTCAGGTTATTTATGGGTTGCTAATTGTGGTGCACAGCAGCATATTCAGAAAGAAGCTTTAATCTTCACAAATCCTTGTGGTGAGGAACCACCTGGTCACATTTGAAATAGAAACTTGCTAAATGTGTTCTGCATTTCCACACTGCGTGTATTTCCATGTATTTCACACCCATGCATCAAACCGCCATTTCTGTGTAGTCCACAGTACTTGTTTAGAGTTCTTTTTTATGGCTGATCTCCAAACAATTTGTGTTTTCACCCCCAAATGTTCCAAGTTTCAGAAATTCCTTTAAATAACCCCAGTTTCCCTACTTGGTGCAAATAAATAGCAGCTGCAAGCATAACCTGACAGAATTTATATTAAACCAACTCTGTTTTTAATTAGGGTTTTTTTGTTTTGTTTTTTTTTTTGTAATGTAGGCAGGAGACAATTGGTTTGCTCATATTTGGGGGAGCAGTTATCCTGCTGAAGTAATTTCTGAAACTCCTTTTGAGGCCAATGTTTTACCTGCATGCTCAGAGATGTTTTCTAAAGAGGCTGCAAGTTATATTTAAACATTATGAAGAAGAGCGGATACTTTCATGTCAGCACGTGCACGGAAGGCACACAAATTACTGTATGTAATGCGATATCCCTGAGCTTTTTATGGACACAGGTGCCATAAAGGCATCAGCATGTCATACATAGAGCATTTAAGATCTGGACAGACAGAACTTTTGCTTGTAAACCCTCCTCCCCCTTTCTACCCCTCAGTTTCCTATTCAGCTGCAATGAAGGTTTTTAGGTTCCTAAAAGGTGGAAGGCTTTTGAACCCCCAAATCTTGAAAAACGGGATCAAAAATTGCCACCTATCTTAATTACAGGAAAAATGAAAGAAAGTTGTTAGCTTCTTGCAGTAAATGCTGAATTCAGAAGGAGAAACTGCCCCGTCACTTTTTAATATTTAATAACAACATATATAATAGCAACACAAACCGGGTTAGGTTCCCTTTGAGATTGGCTTACAGATTCCTGCATGTTCCTGCATTGGTGGTGGTGATGGTGGCAGGAGGAACAAGCAAGCTCTGACCGGAAGCCGTTGTCTTCTTCTCTTCCTTCTTTTTCCCCAGATCTTTGGTTGAAGAGGAAGAGCCTCACATGAAAGTCACTCTGGGGAGCAGCGATATGGGCTTGTCTGCTCACCTGCAGGCATCGAAGGCAGGAACCACCCGATTCTTCACCAGCAATACTCACAGTTCTGTGGTCCTCCAGGTGAGTGAATGCCTGGAACGGAGCCACCTGCCAGGCAAACTTCTTTGGGAGCACGTTCTTCTCTTCCGGGGGAGAGTTTCCTCCAAAGACTCATCTCTTTGGCAATGTCATTGCAGCCCAGGTCACCAAGCGGCTGGGAAGGAAGCACAGAACAGGCTCCCCTCCTTGGTCTCGAAGGACTTCCTCTCCCTTGCTAATTAAACATGGCGGTCAGATTGGAGCGTGGCTGCTTTTCCCTGTGATTGAAGGAGACCCGAGCTTGACATGGTTCAAGAAAGAAGGGGGAGGCCTTTGGCCTGCGAATTATGTCCGACTGCCTTCAAGGGAATTTGTCAGGCGAAACAGCCTTTCAGTGTGAATGTTTTGCTCTTCCTATCTTTTTTTGCTTCCATTGGCCTGGAGCGTGAAAAAAATTCAGTTTCATTATCTAGCAGTGGGTTGTGCAGAAGTCCAGGCCCGTCCTCTGATTTCGGCTCTTGGAAGCAGCCCCATTGCCCCCCTTGCTGATGCTTTGTGTTTGCAGTGGCCGTGAAATGAGGCCAAACCCTGTGCCTGGCATTGTTTGCTGCCACCAACTAGGTGGCAAAGTAGGCTACACACGGCTCTCTTCCCGGGAGCATTTTAAAGAGTGGGAAATTGCTGGGTGGGCCGGCCTGGGGAAGAGCTGCAGCCGATGTAAAAACGAGCCCGAAAGCTTTCGGAAGTGGATGGCCGGGCAGAGCTGATGCCCCAGGATCCTGCCTGTATTCTGGGAACGCCAGAAGCCTTTTGTTCAGTGGGGGTAACCTAATAACCCTCTGGCTGGCAGGAGCAGAGCAGCCTCCCTCCCTCCCCCAGGGTTCCCCAGTGACGCTGAGCCTGGACTGCTTCTGCAGCCCCAGGAACAGGAGCTCCAATTGTGTGGGGCTCCCCGTGGGCCAGCGCCTCATTCGAGGGGGAGTGGAGCTGACGTCGCCGGTTCTTTCTTGCAGGGTTTCGACCAGCTGCGTGTAGAAGGGTTGCTTTGTGATGTGACCTTAGTGCCAGGCGATGGAGACGAAGTGTTCCCTGTGCACAGGGCTATGATGGCGTCTGCTAGTGATTACTTCAAGGCCATGTTCACAGGTAGGGTTCCCTGCTGGTGAATCAGGTGCCGCGCCTGGAGGCCAGTAGACACCCCCTCCCTATGTGTTTCTTTCGGGGGTTCGGTTAATGTCAGGGATGAAATGCCGTTCTCTCTGGTTTGGAAGAAACGTCCTGAGGAGGCTCTGACTGGCTGTAACCCTTTTCTGTCTAAATTTTGTTCCCAGGCGGGATGAAAGAGCAAGACTTAATGTGCATCAAACTGCACGGTGTGAACAAAATAGGTTTAAAGAAGATCATTGATTTTATTTATACGGCGAAACTTTCCCTCAACATGGACAACCTGCAGGACACTCTTGAAGCGGCCAGTTTTTTGCAGATCTTGCCCGTGCTGGACTTCTGTAAAGTGTTTCTTATATCCGGGGTAAGAGAAATGAAGGTCGTGGCTTGGAGGCTCCTCTCTTCAGCTACCCTTGTTTTAACCGCAGGGGGTTGATCTTGCAAAGGGTTTTTCCCCCAAAAGAGACGGTCCACGTTGCTCGAATTAGAGCAGGAGCAGTTCTTCTGCAAGGCAGCTCCCCACTAAACGCAATTAGTTCTCAACCTGTGTGCATGCAGTATCACACAATTAAATTCACCTTTCGGTCAACGTGCTTCGTAGGAAAAACGGTGAACGCCGTCTATAAACTCTTTTGGAATAGTTCTGCCAATGGGACTCCTGGAAGCAGAACCATTTATTGAAAAAAATAAATCTTCTCTGCCAAGTGGGAGGTTCTCAGCTGTGGGAGATCAGAAGGCACACATTGTAAATTGCTTTTGACCACAAAGGAAAGCTGCTATTTTCAGTTTCGGTGTATAACAGCTGGGTTCTTCTGGAGAAGGTGCCGCTACGCAGGCCTCACTTGCAGCCTGGGTTGGGTGACTCCGTAAGATGGAAATAGGGGTATGTATTTTGATGGATGCTCAAGGATTAAAGGAAAGACAGAGACAGCTGAGCTATTCCGCAACTTGCATGCAAATAGATCTTAAACAGATTTTTTAAAAATAATGGGACATCTAACATCCAGCTTTTCAAAAACCGGTGGGTTTTTAAAAATACAGTACCATCCAAGTCACAAATAACGAAAATACCAGACATTTATACCAACAAGGGAGGGAAAAGGGAGACTTTCTAAAGACGATGGGATTTTCAAGATCCATCAGTTTTAGCGTCCGTGGCCGAGAGCTGGGGAAGATGGGATGGAGCCATTAACTCAGAGAGGAAGACATTTCCTGTACCTTTCCTTAAAAACGTGTCCTTTTTCTTTCTCAGGTATGCGATCCTAGAATCTGTGTTAAGTCCTGATGGAATAAGAGTTGTGACTACACAGAGTTGTGACTTTCTCAACCTCAGCAGCTTTAGGACGTCGAGCATGCTGACTGGAGGATTCTGGGAGCTGAAGTCCACACATCTTAAATCTGCCGAGGTTGAGAAACACTGATGTGGAGTAAGAAAATTCAGATCCCCAAAACAGTCTTAAGATGTCTAAATTATGGGCATCCAAACATGGGCCACCAGGGGAAACTCTAGCAGAGGAACCTCTGTGTCTTTTATCCCTGGATTTAGCCGCAGGGCTGCAAAATAAAGAGCCTGTAGTGCAGTGGACTAAAGCATTGTTATTAACATCTGCTGCTTGCAATTACTGTAAGTTCGAATCTCACCAGGCTCAAGGTTGACTCAGCCTTCCATCCTTTCAAAGGTAGGTAAAATGAGGACCCAGATTGTGGGGGCAATAAGCTGACTTTGTATAAAATATACAAAAGTCTGAAGACTATTGCTTAACGCCTTGTAAGCTGCCCTGAGTCTCCGGAGAAGGGCGGCATATACATTAAAAAGCAAAGCAAAATCTGTAGTCTGTTGGCCCTCCTGGCAAACCTATCAACGGTCGGTGTCTTGCAATCTCCTTTCTCTTTTCTGCTGCTGCTGTTTCAGTTTCCTATCTTCAGCTGGAGTACTTGCAACTGATTCCACCTCTTGCTTTTCAATTTTAGCTGCCTCCGACACCCCTTCGCCCCTTGTCTAAATTTTGCAACTCAGAATTTTCAACCCCCTTTCAAGGAAAAACCGGTTTGGGTTTTTCTAGCCTTTTGTTTCCCTCCTGCAATTTCAGCGTTAAGAGTGAAAATCTTAAAAAGAGTCTGCTCCCTTGATCCAGTCCAGGTGTGGTTCTCCAAGGTAGCACCCCCTGATGGAAACGGATGCATTCTTACTGATAACAAGAGGCAGGAGAAGACTGGAGAAGGGCACCAGCAAAACTTGGGGCCAGTTTTTCCAGTCTGTTGTAGCTCCAGCACTTGATGCTCCATGCGCAGGTAGTTGCTGGAGAAATGGAAGCCTTGTGCTGTGCTCCCAATGCTGCTGCCCAACTGGGACGTATTTTGTCCCTTGTGACTCGTTGGGAGTGGCTATAAAGCCTGTGGAGGCAGGGAATACTGGAGCACAGGTAGTATTAGATGCTAATAGGTCGTCTCTTACCTTCGTAGGTGTCCTTGGAGAACTGCGTTGAGGTGGGGCGGATTGCCAACACGTACAACCTCACCGAAGTGGATAAATACGTGAACAATTTCATCCTCAAGAACTTCCCAGCCTTGCTAAGTACGGGGGAGTTTGTGAAGCTCCCCTTCGAGCGCCTTGCCTTCGTCCTCTCCAGTAACAGCCTTAAGCACTGCACCGAGCTGGAACTCTTCAAGGCCGCCTGCCGGTGGCTGCGGTACGAGGAGCCTCGCATGGAATGCGCCGCGAAGCTCATGAAAAACATCCGTTTCCCTCTGATGACACCCCAGGATCTCATCAACTACGTCCAGACGGTGGATTTCATGAGGACCGATAACACTTGCGTCAACTTGCTCTTGGAAGCCAGTAACTATCAAATGATGCCCTACATGCAGCCGGTGATGCAGTCGGAGAGAACGGCCATCCGCTCGGACAGCACCCACCTGGTGACCTTGGGAGGGGTCCTCCGGCAGCAGCTGGTCGTGAGTAAGGAACTGCGGATGTACGATGAGAAAGCGCACGAGTGGAGGTCCCTGGCCCCCATGGACGCACCCCGATACCAGCATGGCATCGCGGTGATCGGGAACTTCCTCTATGTGGTTGGCGGGCAGAGCAATTACGACACGAAAGGGAAGACGGCTGTGGACACGGTTTTCAGGTTTGACCCTCGCTACAATAAGTGGATGCAAGTGGCTTCCTTAAATGAAAAGCGGACTTTCTTCCACCTAAGTGCCCTCAAAGGACATCTCTATGCCGTCGGTGGTCGCAATGCAGCCGGGGAATTAGGTAAGTTCCATCTCAGGTGGAGAAGCTTAAATCGCCGGCTAATCAGGATGTCGCGATTCACTGTCAGATGGTTTTTCCGGCATCAAGATATATTATGCCAGAACGTTTCCACCGTCTACGAAGGCAATTCGACCCATTCGGAAAAAGGAGCGAAGCTTTAGTCAAGCTGTCACTGGCTCTGTGGGGATTTAGTAACCACGGTATTGCATGCTAACCTGTATCGTATTTTTAAAAGGAGTGTTTGGAAATAATAATGGTGCCGCTGTATATTATTATGGTAATGCGGGGTTTAATTGTCTATCTTCCCACATGCCAAGGGGAATAATGAATGGGCCTGTTTTCTTCTGAGCAAATGAATTGTGTATTGATTTTATGCAGGTAGCGCTGATCTGAATTTATTTTAAGCTTCTTTTGTCTGACGTGTGAAGAATTAAGTGTTGGTGGCTGGCTCTCTTAGTCTGGCCTGAGTATACGGGCTCACTTCCTGCCCTCCCCGCCCCGCCCCCCTTGTGAGCCAGGCAGTGAGCAGAGCAAGTGAGCTGTGCATATTCCACTTAGGACCCTCTTAAGGGCCTTCCTCCTGATAATTTAGCATCTTCCTCTTATAAACACCAGAGGCAGGCAGCCATGTCTCCGCCGAAACTCCCTAGGCGAGCAGCACCGTTGCTGCCTGACAATTCCTTTCTAATTTCTTCCCTCTTGATACGATCTGTCACTTTTTAGTACTTGTCTTCAGGGTTACCTTGAACAATCTGTGGGCTGTTAAATAGTTTGCATCGATTTCCATAATGAGCTGGATCCATTTGTATGAAAGTCAGACTCTGGCTTGGCGGTCCTGTCGATTCTTAGATCAAAATATTCTCTCTCTTTCCGTTGAGTTGCGTCGCAAGTCATTTTTTTTTCCACTTTCACTGCAGCTTTTGAAGGCCCCCCCCCCTTTTTTTTGCAACAAAACGTAGAAAGAATCCTTGTAACTTTTCCCTCTTTCCTGTGAAAGGCAAGAAAGGAAGGAAGATGAATAATGTTTATTCTTTATTAATCATGTTTAGATGGCAGGCAATCGGATGTAGCGTTCTTGGCGCAGAAACATCTCCAATGAAGCGTCATGTGGCCCTCTGACCCTATTGGGCTCCACGCTGGGAATTTGGCAAGAAGCGTTTTTTTGATTGCCGTCTGTGGTTGAAGATAAGCCCCACCTACATCACTGCTGACATGCAATTCTTATTTGCTTAAAATTAAAATAATAAGAAACACAGACGCGGCAGTTCAAAATCCAACAGACAGTTCTACAAAAGTTGATCCTTGGGAATAATCCCCAAAGGCAGGAATGATTAAGGCTACTAAAAACTCCGTCTAGGAAGAGATGAAGCAGAAATGAAATGCTGGAGTTTGCTGCTGGAGTCCCCCAAATTTAAACTAATGATCTGCTATTGCCCAGAAGATCTTGTTTTAACGTGGAAAAATCTCAGCGCCATAAAAATGGTGTAAAAAGTATTATAATAACAATAACTGTAGAGATTTGTCTGACCAATGGAATATGGAGATGTTTTTTTCTGGTTGTGCTAAGGTTGTGATGATGGCCAAGATCTTGTCTAATGCTCATCCTCTAATTAATAAGATCATTCCTAACTGAAGTAGTGAACTCTTGGAGTCTGTAGAGATTCTCAGTCCTCCAGGTCATGGTTGTCCCAAAGGTGCTTATTTTTCAGGAGGCAACTGGACTTTCTGGTTTTTCTCTGAAGATGTTTCGCTTCTCATCCAAGAAGCTTCTTCAGCTCTGACGGGATAGTGGACAATGGAAGGATTTATATTCCTTGCAGACAGTTGGTCATTTGCATCCTTTTAGAGGGCCCTTGAAGCACTTCCTCAGGGTCACCTGAATTGTGCTCCTGGTTCCTGTGGTCTGCAATTCTTTTCCTCTGGAAACCCATTCCTACCTCCCACCCCATTCCAAGGGTCTTCATCCCAAATTGTAATTGGATAAAAGTCTGTAGAGATTCTCAGTCCTCCAGGTCATGGTTGTCCCGAAGGCGCTTTTTCAGGAGGCAACTGGACTTTCTGGTTTTTTCTTTTGAAGGCGTTTTGAAGACTCCTTCAGCTTCTTGGATGTGAAGTGAAACATCCTCAAAAGAAAGATCAGAAAGTCCATTTGCCTCCTGAAAAAGCGCCTTCGGGATAGTGAACTCTTGGCTTCCTAGGGAGCTGACAGCAGCAAAGTGAGTGTGTGAGTGGTCAACTAAAGGGCAAATGGAGAGATTTCAGAATGGGTCAGAAGTCTTGATGATGTTATCCATCCAGTCATGTCCCATTCTCAGTGGTTCTATGGACCAGTCTCTCCACATCTTCCACTCTTTCACTCTTTCTTTGAGCTTTTGTGTGGGCTGATCTCGATGCTTCGCCTGGGGTCAACTCTTGATGGCCTCACAGAAGTTTTAGTCTGGAGCAGTGAAAAGAATTTTGTTCTCGGCCGTTGAGAAATCCATCCAGATTTTGCCCTGTTTCACCTCTGCTGAAAAAAGTGGCCAGAAAACGGGGGGCCTTACATCTCCAGACATGACGTCTTGATTACGTGGACCTCTCTCAATTCGAGTTTTGGGTAGGATATCATACGGAGGTAGCCTTGGAGCATGGCCTGAATCGGAGCCTGAATGGGGAAACCGAGGCCTTCCTTTGTTTCCACAGTCCCAGCTAGAACATTTACAGTGGAGGTTCTTTGCTATTCCCAGACGCCCAAGCTCAGTCCCCCCTTTCCCTGTGTCATAAGCTTGGTGTTTTTGTGTATACGCTCATATTTTTATTTTTAGAAGCTTGGAAGGTGTGAAGTCACTGCATCTGACTGCAACGGAGGCCTCAGGCCGCTCTGGTTCCAGGGGGATGCTGCCCTGGGGAGGGAACGGATCGAAAAGGGTGGGGGGGGGCAGAGGAGCGTTTCCAACCATCATGGCCGCCCTGAGTAGCTTGGGGAAGCAGCCACAAGAATCCTTGTGGGACGCGGAAGCTGCCTCTGCTCACAAGCGTAGAAATCCTGCTTGTACATTCAGACCATGACCTGCTCCCACCTCCCATGGCCAGGTCTCTCTGAATCCTTCCATTCCTGGTTCCTCCCGCACAGAACCTTTGCGTTAGAAGAGCTGCAGGCTATGCGCTCCCTTGGAATCTTTCTAAAGGCTGGGTTTTTTTTTAAAGCACACGAGATTTATTTTAATGCCGGTTAATGTTTACCATGGTAGAGGCTTCGTGTTTTTCTGCTCTGCACCTGAAGAGCCTAGCTTTTTCGTCTGGTATGTGGAAAGGTTATTAATCCGGTTAAAGCCCGCTTCTTGGAAAGCTTTTGCTCTTCCTGGCTGTCAAATGGGTCTTTCTGAGAAAAAAAGCAAGGAAGAAGATCATTCACAGACATGAATGTAAAAAAAAGGCAACATGTTTAGAAAGCGGGGGAGCTTTGTTGGGTTTTTCGACCGATACGACCGTCCCACAGGTGCCCTGTTCCCATGGCACGTGCTTTCTTTAAAAAGAGGCAACTAAAACTTTGCTCCGTGTCTATTCTCACATCAGGGGACTAAAAATAAAACGGGCACCCGGTCAGAAACATGAAACCAGCAGACAGACAGAGAGAGAGAGGAAGAGAGAGAGAGAGAGCCTTGTTTCCGACACTGGTGGCCAGATCATCTGCAAAACGGTTTTGTTCATGAGGTTGTGGAAAATAAATCCACGAAGGCGGAGAGCCGCTGCAGTTGATAAATTAGTAACATGGTGGTTAAGTGAATCCGTCTTCCCCACTGACTTTGCTTGTCAGAAGGTCGCAGAAGGGGACCACATGACTCCCAGGGGCGCTGCAGCCATCATAAGTACGAGTCAGTTGCCAAGCATCTGAATTCTGATCCTCTTTTTCCAACAGCTACGGTGGAGTGTTACAATCCCAGAATGAACGAATGGAGCTACGTGGCGAAGATGAACGAGCCCCATTATGGCCACGCGGGGACTGTCTATGGGGGCCTGATGTACATTTCAGGTGAGCTGGCCCATCGTCCATCCTTTCCCCTCCCAAACCACACCTGCAGACCTCCAGTGCCAGGTATCTTTCGCCCTCAAAGAGACCTGTGTTCCCTTTCACTCCTCTTGAGTTTCTCCCCCAGACGCTTCAGACGAGACACGCTGTTAAATCTCGGACTTTCCTCTTGGATATAGTTATTCCAGCCAGCTGGCTGCCTTCCGTGATAACCACACCTTTAAAAAGGGGGATCCAGCTGTTTGTTTATTTATGATGCTCATTCCTGATCAGACTTGGAATAACAGAGTTGAAGGGACCTTGTAGGTCATTGAGCTGGGTGGCTGATCTTATAAATGTCCCGTTTGAAGAAATAGCTTCTTTTTACTGGGATAAGAGGGGCCTCTGTATAGCCTAACAAATCCCACCAATACTTGAAATCCCTGGGCTAAAGATTTGAACCTTATGCGTAGAGCTGGGGATCTTTGGAACTCAATACCATGTACCCAGAGAGTGGGACACTGGGGAAAAGGGGGGATGAGGAGCCAGAAAAGCTTCCTGGGAGACTTGGGGCTGCCCCCCCACCCCCCAACAGCTCCAGAGCCCACGGAGCAGTGATGAAGTCAGGTGACCCACCCCCCCTTTTGCGACCTTCCGATAAGCAAAATCCATGGGGAAGCCAGGTCCACTTAACAACTGTGGCAAGGAAGGTCACAAAATGGGGCAAAGTCACGTTAACAAGCGTCTCGCTTAGCAACAGAAATGTCGGGCTCGATTGCGGTCGTCCGTCGAGAACTACCTGTAGACTTGATAAAGTGAGAAACTAGCGTACTAGCAAAGGTTTTGGTCGGCCTTGGGGCTCCCCCACCGGCTCTTGATGGAGTGTCTGCCTTTCCCCTCCCCCCAGGTGGCATCACCCACGACACTTTCCAGAAGGAGCTCATGTGCTTTGACCCCGACACGGACAAATGGACGCAGAAGGCCCCCATGACCACGGTGAGAGGCCTCCACTGCATGTGCACGGTGGGCGATAAGCTCTACGTCATCGGGGGCAACCATTTCCGGGGCACCAGCGATTACGATGACGTGCTCAGCTGCGAATATTACTCCCCCACGTTGGACCAGTGGACTCCCATCGCGGCCATGCTGCGTGGCCAGAGTGACGTCGGGGTGGCTGTCTTTGAGAATAAGATCTACGTGGTCGGGGGCTACTCCTGGAACAACCGTTGTATGGTGGAGATCGTTCAAAAGTACGACCCAGAGAAGGACGAGTGGCACAAGGTCTTTGACCTGCCGGAGTCCCTGGGGGGCATCCGGGCCTGCACACTGACAGTCTTCCCCCCCGAGGACAATCTAGCTTCACCTTCACGGGAGTCGCCTCTTTCGGCGCCTTGAGAGTGGTCCTGGGGGGGGGGCTCGTGGGACCCTTGTTCTCCTGCTGCACCGCGTCATGGGTCCTCTCCTCGTCTCCAGTAGTTTCTATGGGGTTTGCACTGAAACTGTTGGCAAATAATGGGTGGGGGGGAAAGGCATGACGGTTCACGGGGTGTTTGGTGTGGGGAGTTTCTCGCGGTGGGCCTGGGAAATGCTGGACTCCAAAGGCTCAACGAAGGAGGAGGAAACGGTGGCGCCTCCTGTCGGTTTTTAACTTGCAGGAGAGCGAAGGCAGAAGATGGGCTGAATGGCATCTGCAGAGCCCCTTGGCCAAGCCTGGAGGAAAGCTTCCTCATGGGTGGGGAGAGGGACACCCCCCCTCTGGCCCCGGCTGCCTCCCCCCGCCCCCTCCCCCAAATGAATGGAGCGTTTTAGACTCAGCATGAAATGGCCCTGCAGGAGTTTGGAAGAGGTAAAGGAGGAAGGGGCACCTGAGGTGACCTTGGATCTGTACATCGGTGGGGGGGGAGGGGGCTTCCCCTCCCTTGCCGCCCCCTCCCCCCCAATTAAAAAAAATGAAGCATTAACTGAGGGTTTTGTTCTTTTTCTCTTTGCCTTCTCACTCCTCCCCCTCCCTGGCCCTCCCCCCCCCTCGGTGATTTGGGGCCTAGGTGGCCTGGTGAGATCTCTACACTGGATTTCAAAAGAGACAAGGGCTAGAACTCTCTCTGGTTGAGCCGCTCAACATTTGACCCAAACCGTTTCCTCCGGATGAAAACTTGCGCCTGTGGGTCTCGCGCCCCCCGCTCCCGGGGGCTCTTTTGCCTCTGATCCCTCGGTATAAAATCTCAGTTCAGACGGTTATTTAGCACAAACACAGCTTGGACAAAGCTGCTTTTTTGCTCAGAGAATTCAGACTCTGCCCTGTTTTCTTTTGTTCAATAAAATCTTTAACTGCAATTAGTTGGGAGTTTGTTCTTGAAAGAAAGGGCTCCTTTCTCTTCTTCGCTTCCCGTTGCCAGGTAACTCTTTTATGTGTATGTTGTGTGGTGTGTGGGAAGCACAACTGGCTGGGCTCCGGTTCTGCAGGAGCTTCCAAAGGGGGAGGCTTGACCTACTTTTCCCCCAAACTCCCACCCACCCACCCCTGGGACACCCAAGCAGAGCCTGTGGGGGAGTCGGTCTTTGCACGGGACAGGCACCGCCTACGAGGAGGGCTTTGCCAGGCTGAGCGGAAGAGGCTGGTGGGGGGGGGGTCTGTGGTTGGCTTGCATTGCGGGGGGGCTGTGTGGGGAAAAAGAGGCCTGGTGCCCAAGCTCACCGAGAACTCCCTAGCAAAAGCTCTACTCAAAGCAACAGGCTCTACTCGCGCCTTGTGGTGTGATGGGCGGCAAACTAACTTAATAAAATACATCAATAAACATTACGTCTTCCCATCCTTGCTCGTTCCTTTCAGAGCCAGCCTTCCTCCCCTTCTCAAAACGTGGAAGCTTATTTTTTCTCCCGAGTCCTTTGGGAGAAGGGCGGTATATAAATAAAATAATAATTATAATAATTATAATAATAATATAATAATAATAATAAAGTATTGAAGGCAAAGCTGACCAGAAACTAACTTGGAACTGGTTAACTGGTTAACTGGTTTTTTCAGGAGTACTGAAAAAAGAAACAGAAAGCTTTATTTTGGCAGCTCAAGAACAAGCCCTAGCCACAAACTGCATGAAGGCAAAAATTCAACATGTTACCACCAACAGCAAATGCCGCCTCTGCAATGAGAAAGATGAGACAGTCGACCACCTGATCAGTGGATGCAGCAAAATTTCACAAACTGACTACCTACAACGCCATGACCGTGTTGCTAAAATCATTCACTGGAAATTGTGCCAGAAGTTTGGATTTGAGTACAGCAAAAACCACTGGGAACATCAGGTTGAGAAAGTTTTAGAGAATGAGAAACTCAAGATCTTGTGGGACTTTAGGATTCAGACTGACAGGCACTTGGTCCACAACACACCTGACATAACAATAGTTGAAAAGAAAAAAGGATGGTTCATTGACATTGCAATACCTGGTGATGCACGGATTGAAGATAAGCAGCAAGAAAAAATCACAAAGTACCGGGATTTGCAAATTGAAGTTGAGCGACTGTGGAAAAAGAAATCGTGTGTTGTCCCGATTGTAATTGGAGCCCTTGGAGCAATACCCAAAGGGCTACCCCGCTATTTAGAAATTCTAAATTTGCCAGACTTGAACATTTTGACTCTACAAAAAACCACCTTACTCGGAACAGCTTCCATCCTCCGACGATACCTTAACAGTTCCTAGGTCCTTGGTTAGGACTCGAGCTGCTGAGCTATTAAACGGCCTCAAAGGCTGTGAATCTCACTAAAGATTAACCGATAATAATAATAAT